TTTGCCAGCCAAATATATTTTTTTTACTTTCCGAGTGGAACATAGGAATTCAAGGTTGAGGCTTGAAGTTTCTGTAGCAGTGGTGATTGTTTTTACAGGATGGGGTTGCTAGCCTCATATGGCCAACCTTTACCTCTTTACCCAGCTGTATTACTGGCTTAGCGAGGTAAAAGAGTGCTTTGGTGGTCGGAGATCAAACCCCGGACCACCTGAGGTGTGGTCGGCTAGCGCCCTAACCACTGTGCCACCGACGCACTAGAAGTTTACCTAGCAGCAGTTTTATTTTTATTGATGGGCGTCGGGGGGGGTGGTCAACCTTACACCAAACCTTACTTTACACTGGGATTACTATACCAGCTCAGTGTGGTTTAGGAGTGCATTGGGCAATGAATTGTGAACCCCTAGATCAAGTAAGATGTGGTTTGTAAGCGTTCTACCTTTGAACCACCTTTCGTTTACACCGTGTTAATTATCATTGTCAGCAAGCGATCCTTTGCTTTTACTCTCTTGATTTACGCTCATTAATAATTGTGTGGGGTTTCAGGATTTTAAATTAAGATATCCTATTGTCCGTGGCAAGGATAAGGGACAAAGCCGAGACACAAATCAACACTATCGAAGAGGTCGGCGTCGAAAAGCACTGGGACAACTTGAAAACGGTGTGGAGTCAAGCCTGCATAGAAGTTCTGGGCAGAAAGAAGAGACAAGACAAACAGTGGTTCACTACGGACACTTGGAAACTAGTAGAAGAGAGAAGGACAGTAAAACAAAAGATTATCCAGTGCACTGACGAGCAACAAAAACAGGAGCTGAATGCAAGCTACAATACACTGAACAAAAGAGTGAAGAAGAGTGCCAGGGAAGACAAAAGAAAATATTATGAAGCCATGGTAAACGAAGCAGAACAAGCTGCAGGCGAAGGAGACCTCGCCACACTCTACCAAACAACTAGGAACATGTCGGGCAAAAGTTCGACACAGATTAAGCCAGTAAAGGATGACAATGGAAAGTCAATCACCAAAGAGGTGGAGGAAAGAAAACACTGGGCTGAACACTTCAAAAGACTTTTAAATCGACCGCTAGCTACAACGCGCCCAATTATACCAACGACGGAAGCTGAACTACCAGTGAAGATCAACCCCCGACGAAATCAGAAGTTCTGAATGCAATCAAGATGCTAAAAGCTGGAAAAGCAGCAGGATCAAATGGAATCCCAGCAGAGGCATTGAAAATGGACCCAGAGACAACAGCGGAATTGATGAAGCCATTGCTGGAGAAGGTGTGGAAAGAGGGCAAAGTACCTCATCTCATCCAACAGTTATACGGCAATGCTGCATGCCAAGTAATCCACAACGGGATACTTACGGAAGCCTTGGAAATGAGGACAGGAGTGAGGCAAGGCTGTCTACTATCGCCAGTGATCTTCCTAATTGCAGTAGATTGGATAATGAGACAGACAACGGGCAATGAAGAGATAGGCATAAAATAGACTCACACAAAAAACTTGGAGGATCTGGACTTCGCTGATGATATATTTCTGATTTCCCATAAATTGGAAGATATTTAAGTGAAAAGCAACAAGCTGGCAGAAGAAGCATCAAAGATAAGAAGGACTTCAGGTGAACATAGATAAAACAGATGTGAGGAAAATTCCTGGCCAACAGGAACACCAACACCAACAGCGACAACAACAACAAACAACAATCAGCCAGTGTAAATGGGAGGAACCTGAAAGAAACAACCTCCTTTACCTACCGACCTGGGAAGCATCGTTTCAACTACAGGCGGACGGAACTGACGAGGATATCAAAGCAAGAATCGGAAAAGCAAGACAAGCTTTCATTACTCTCAAGTCTATGTGGCGGTTAACAGCACTCCTCATCATGAAAAATAAGATCCGGATTTTCAACTCCAATGTGAAGTCAGTGCTACTCACCATATGAATCAGAGACTTGCACTGCGCGTCATAAAGAGCATCTCAAGCAAACTTCAGACCTTCATTAACAGTTGTCTTTGCTCAACACTCAAGATCAGATGGTTGGTTAGAAAAGATCAGAAACAGGAATCTCTGGAAATGAGCAAACCAACACAGCAGGAACCGATTGTGAAACAAATAAGCAGAAAGAAATGGAGATGGATTGGCCATACTCTGAGGAAACAAACCGTCAAGTGACATCACTAGACAAGCCATCACTCGAGTGGAAGGTGAACGAGAAGCGGCGAGTTGGTCGTCAGTGCGAGGGTGACTTTGAGGAGGTCATGTGAAGAGGAGATGAGAGCATGTGGGCAGACTTGGAGCGGGGTGAAAAAGTTGACAGAAAACGGTAGGCAGTGGAGACACGCAGCTGAATCCCTATGTTCCTCTAGGAATTAAAGGACATAATAATATAATGATAATAATAATAATTGTCCGTGGTAATGAATAGTAAACGTCTGTGAGCCTTGTCGACTGTTAAATATCATTCATCAAATACATGTCTGTTTGAATATGGTATTCATTTTATTCTTTGATCATAGGTGCCTGTATTCTATCTCCCGTGTTAGGTGGTGGTATATAGTAGGGTGAGCAATATTTAGGTGAGGCGTTGTTCGAGTGCTGGGTAGGGAGGGGATATCAATCGACGAGACTATGAAGTTACACCAATTGAGATGGTTAAGACGGGCGGTGATGTTGGCTGACATAGGATGGATGAGGTTGGATAAGAGTTAGCTACTGTTAATAGTGATGGTCAAACGAAAACGTGGCTTCATCAGTCAATGAAATCCACAACAGTTAGTTTAAGCCAACCGATCGGTCAGCCAGTCAGGCAGTCACATAGGGAAGTGTAGACTGACTACTTGCTTAGGGTCTTCGGGATGGTAAAAACCAGTGGCTGGAGACAGTTGGTGATATGGCTGAAAATGGTTCTGAATGGCTGACGCAGATTCGCTCACTCTTTGTGATTTAACATATCTAATAAAAAGTCTACTTTTCTTCCATATTACTATTGTTTTCGCCTCACACTTGTGTTTATTGTCTCTGTTTACGCTGTTCTCTTGCAACATGGAGTGTTACGACTCGGACTGGTGCACATCTGTGTGAAGTTCCATGTTGAAACTGATCAATCAATCATTCATTCATTCATTTTATCATACTATTTTAGTGGAACATTTTAGTTGAAATGTTCTCAACAAAATTATAATTTCATTTATTAGATTTTTGCCACGAACCAACATATAATTGAAAACCACTAGAAGAGGGGTCGGCAGTACTGGACAAATGTTTCGTCCTATTTCGGGGCTCTTCGTCAGCAGTGCTCATCCATGATCTCGCCACGCTTTAGGTGATGAGGTGTCAAACTCGTTGACCATTCAGCGCCCTGAATTCTAACTCTTATCAACTCGTGATATGATATAGCACTGCTACTCTCATCCCCTCACTAATACCTTGTAGATGAGCATCCAATTCACCGAGACATTGATTGGTAGGCCTCATTTGTATGGAGAATTTAATCATTTTTCAGTGAGTTACAAAATAAAGTTTGGAGGGGGGTAAAAGTCCTTTATCATATATTGCTCGTTCAGTGAGCAAATTTATTCACCTGGTGACTTAATTATATATACCGTATGTGCAGCACCTTGTGTAATTGAGTGTACAATGTACGTTTTATTGTCCCCCATGTGTTCCCCCAAGGTGTTGTACTCTCCCGACTTCTCTTTTCTTTCTTTCTCTCTACATGACTTACCATTTTCAAATGACATTAATTTTGTCAAATATACTGACGACCTGATTGTATCTTTGCCTGTTATATGTCAAAGTTACTGCTCCAAACTAAATGGCTTTTTATCAGAAATCAGTCAATGGGCCAAGGAAAATGGTCTTACCTTAAACCCCTCCTAATGCAAAACAGTCAATTTCACCTTTAGGCATAAATCTGTCTGACCTAGACAAACTGGTTAGCACTCACGGGATGTGCAACATAGATGATGGCACTGAAATAGAAACCAAGTCGGAAATTGAATATCTAGGCGTCATTCTATCCACTGATCTTTCCTGGTCGTCTCATATCTTGGTGATTTCTATGAAAATATTCCGTCTTACCTTCTACATCAAGAAGCTAAGACATTCTGGTATAACCCAACCCTTACTCCTACAATTCGTTAACTCTTGCATCCTGCCTATTATTCTCTATTGTGCCCCCTTAGTTTTTCCAGGGCTGGCTACTGAAGAAAGACTATACCTTATTACGCAGGATGTTAAAGGTTGTCAGAAGGGTAAGCAATGTGCCACTTAACCAACCTGTTAATAGTCTGGTTGACAGGCACATGGACTCATGTGAGAAATGGGCTAAATCCATTCTATCTATCTAACTCACACCACCATCTTCATTCACAACTCTCCCCTTGTATCTCATCAGGCAAAACCAGAAGCCTATATAGAAAACTATATGCTCTCACTAGAAAGTACAAAAACTCAACCATACCCTACCTACTTAGCTCGTGTTCTGTGCGATAAAGAAAGCATTAGGCGTGATACCTATAACTTATTGAATAGTCACTAGAACAACTGGATCTCGTCTTTCCAACTCATAGGTACAACGTTTTCTTTCTTTTCTTTTTCTCTCTTTTTGTTATGTGCTGCTTTGTTTCTTTCTTCCTTACAAACTCTATTTATAACATTCTTCTTCGTTCTCTCACACTCCGTATATCTCGACCTTTTGTTACCGCTTACGCCAGTAAATATCCTAGAATCTACTTTTCTAACACCTTCAATCACTCTGTTCAATTTTGGTTTTGCTACCGACATGCCAATATGTTGTTGTCATAATGAACGGAGATTACCTTAATCTATGTAGAATTTTATTTATTGATAATGTACTAACTGGATACAATACTGTAGTGAAATGCAGAGAAATTCCATTCTGTATCACAAGTACTGTTTTGGAATAAAGTAAATTATTATTATTATTATAAAGTAGCTTTATCCATATTTTTTGTTATTTTTGTTCGTTATTCTTCAGTGCCTCAACCATCCTTAACATCATCAATTCTGTCTACAGATCAAATGAATTTCATGACTCCAAATAATAATAATAATACAAACACACCATATTCTAATTACCATCAAATACCAAATCCTCAAACTGATTTTAGTCATTTATTTTATTCACATATGTCATATCCTCCTTCAGTGATACCACCACCAGGATCAGCCCCGCCATCATCATCATCTGTTTCAGATCCAGCATCACCTGTCTTCCCATCTCCACCGTCTACAGCGAATTCTGGAAATATTTTTATACCCTCCGGTTATTCTGTGAATCCTCATCACCCCCATCACCACCATCCGACAGCTTCTGTTGTCTATCCAGTGGCAGCAGCTGCCGCTGCAATGGCTGTTGCTACTGCTGTCGCCGCTGCCTCCTTCCAACCGGTTTCGTCATCCTCCTCCTCTTGTGATCAGCTCTATTCCACAATATCTTCTTCAAACAATGGTGGTGGTGGTAATACAAGTGTTAATCAACCTATTGGTGGTGATTTCACTTCTCAATGTACACGAAACATCTTACAGCATAATAATAATAATAATAATATCGATTTAAACCAAGGCGAATCCGTCTCTCCATCATCGTCTTATACAAATTCAAATTTACCTGGATCCCATCTATCTGTTAGCGGTTATCCGGATATTATTACTCGAGCATATCCTCTTACAACCTCATCTACGCATATAATGGATCAATGTCAGACGTCGTCTTATGATTCTGAGTAAGTAAATGCATTTTTCTTTTCTAATTATTGAATGTGTATTTTTACATTAGAATGTGGCGGTGGGTTTATAAAATCTTTCTCTCTCTCTCTCCCTCCCTCAGTATAGTGTGTTAATGAGACATCTCAGTAATCTGTGGATAGATAGAGGTTGTCTTGAAAATGGAACAATCAGTTGTCTCTCATTGATGATGGCTAGACAGACAGAAAGACAGAGACAACTTTTGGATTTAATCTTTCTCACGCCTACGCCATTGATGATATATATATATATATAATCATTGTTACTTCTATAAAGCATACTTTTACCTCCCTTGTTCACCTTGTGGTGTGTTCTCATTTAAGTAGTGTGGGCTAGGAGAACAGGTAGGTAGTTGTTGGATAGATAGGTTGTTTTGATTGGATGGAGGATTTCAGCATCATGAGCTGACATCAGTTAGAGAACTACTGGGAAACCTGCAGGGAGTACTGGACAGCTGTTTCCTCAGTCCTAGTTTGGGATTCTTCATCAGTACGCACCCAACCCACTGGGGTTCGAACCCAGGGCCCTCTGGTTAAAAGGCTGGTGAGCCAGCTCGTAGACCATTAAGCCACTGGGACCCGATCCAATGGCCAGCCAGTCCGTGAATTGCAACTTCTGTCAATTCACGACATAGCGCGACCATTTTGCGATGTCTTTTTCGATGAGTTACTGCATCATGATGAAATCCTCCATCGAATCAAACTAAATCCCTACAAAACCAATACTTGAAAATTTATCTGATGCACGCTAGCGACTTGCCTTATTCAGGCAGTGACCCACGATTCTAGTGGGAAGCCGTAACCAAAAGGGTACAGCAGGTTGAAGGTGAGGCAGTAACTCATCGAAGAAGACATTGCGAAGCAGTCGCGCTATGACATGAATTGGCAGAAGTTGGAATTCATGGATTGGCTGGCCATTGGATCAGGCCCCAGTGGTTTAATGGTCTGCGAGCTCGCCTAGTAACCAGAAGGCCCTGTGTTCGAGCCGTAGTGGTGGGTGGGTACTGATGAAGAGTCCCAAACTAGGATGGAGGTCACAGCTTTCCAGTACTCCCAAGTTTTCCAGTGGTTCTCTAACTGATGACAGCTCATGATGAAATCCTCCATCCAACCAAACTAAATCCCTACAAAACCAATACTACTTGAAGATAGGTTCTTGGCGTAGACAGTCGATATTATTCGTGATTACCGTGTCCACTACCACCAGATCCCTGCGTCGTTCTCCTTATTTCAACCCAACGTTTTGCAAAATATACAAATGCTGACAGAGAAGTTAGATTTTTTGAAGTTGGGACAAATCACTTGAGCAACAAATGAAAATTATTGAGTTGCTCACGCACTCGAAGATTTTCGATTGAGAATCATTTCAGATCAATTCACAAGAGATGGAATTACTAATAGCATTTGACTACGATCCTGATGCCAATATGACACTTCATGATTGGTTTAGGAGATGTCAGGATAGCTTCAAAGTAGATTTTGCTGAGCAATATTTAGGGAAAGTTCAACTGTCACAGTCAAAACCACATTGACCTTGAACAACCAACCAGAATTCAGATGCAAGAAAAGTCGCACAATCGTTCAAAAATACACTAAAAAAAACATTGCTAATATGATATTATACTGTATATACCTGTAGTGTAGTTTATGTGTTGTAAGAATGAATGTCTCCCAGTCAATACACCGATTCTCTATAGCGAAATTGTACCGTGCGCGCGATATACCCATTCATTCAGGTGACTGTAAGTCATGGTACTTTAAGATCTTTGATTAGACACTAGTAACTAGTGTTATGCGTCTAGTCCTTTCTTTGGTGCAGACTGAATTCTGTCAATCAGGTTTGCAATGTGACAATCAACCATTCTAGGTAGCTCGCCATCATGGTGCGCATTGATTTGAATATATTAGATGGTTGGAGGCAATTGGCCACAGGAAGGCGTGATGGCGAGCTACCTAGTGGCATGGTGGCCACATTGGAAAACCTGACTGATAGAATTCAGTCTGTACCAAAGAAAAGAAAGGACTAGACTTATCACACTAGTTACTAGTGTCCAATCAAAGTATCCACTACAGTCCTACAGGTCAATTGCGAGCCCGAATAGCTCAGTGGTAACGTCTCTGACTGCAGTGCTCACTGGGTGACGCGGGTTCGAATCTGCTCAGAAGAGAAATGAGTTCCTTCGAGGTTACAGATACGCCTTTGTGACTGGTGAGTGCCAACTAGCACGAAACCTAGGTCCAAACAGGGTCTTCCTGTGGTCGATTGCCTCCTACCATCTAATATATAATCAAAACATTGAGATACATTGGCATTTCTGACACTATTCGTCAACCTACTCCTAACTACAACCATAATCCTAACTCCTAATCCTAAACTGCGTCGGTGGCACAGTGGTTAGGACTCTCACCGACCATGCACATGGTCCAGGGTTTGATTACCTGCCGACGCACACCCGATATCAATGGCCAGCCTGCAAAATATGGGCTACCGATATCACATGCTGCAAATTCCATACTTGTACCAAAAATACAGTGTGGAATCAAGCTGTAATAAAATAAATAAATAAATAAAAAGTACCTAATGAATAAGTGGAATGCTGTATCTATCCTCTCCAAATCCAAAAGGGCAGGTATAATTTGATTTCGAATGACATTTCGCATAGCTTCCCCTGTGTGTTTGATAGGTTCTTAAAGGTCGATTTTTCAAAGACCTTGACTTTGGCTATGATACTTTAACTTTGCTCAAGATAATTCCTAGAAGGTATGTCTGTTGCTTCGAAAACTGGCTTCATCGGAATTCGACCAATACTGTAATATAATTTTACGTGAAAACCCACACGATCACACATTCGACGCCATACTATACAGACCTTAAGATATCATTTTGGTGATCAATCATCCCATTTAAATGTTCGTTATCGTTGTCTCAAATTAACTACTGGACAAGAACGATGACATCTTCACTCACGTGTTGGTATTGTCAACCATGAATGCAAATGAATTAAGTTAAAATCTTTGGCAGAGGTTCAATTTAAATCAACCGAATCCCTACAAACCAATACTTGAATATCAAAGAGATGCTTACTGGCGACTGGCCCTATTCAGGTTGGTGGTTACCCGGGGTTCTAGTGAGAAATGGTGACCAGTAGGGTGCAGCAGGTCGGGTGTGAGGACAAATACTCCCCGAAGACAGTGGCTAGTGGTTGCGCTATATCGTGAACTGGCAGAATTCATGGGGTGGCCGTTGGATCGGGTGGGTCCCAGTGGCTTAGTGGTATACAAGCTAGCTCGCTGGCCTTATAACCAGAAGGTCCTGGGTTCGAACCGTAGCGGGGGTGCGTGCCGATGAAGAGTCCCAAACTAGGACGGACGAAACAGCTGTCCAGTACTCCCTGTAGATTTTCCAATGGTTCTCTAACTAATGTCAGCTCATGATGAAATCCTTTAACCAATCAATCAAATCCCTACAAACCTATACTTGTAAATCATTAGTACTTATTTGCAGTTTACAGTCTCCCAAGTTCACCGACACTTCTGAATAAGGCGACTGCTAACAATCTCTTAGAGAGAGAACCAGCTGTTACACTGAATGGACGTCGCTGCAAAATATCAACAATTGGTGTCTACCTTCAGATCAATAACAGTTTAGTTCAAATCTGAACGTCATGGTGGTGGTGGTGCTGAAATCAATACACTACACCAGACTTTGCAATCTCTCTAATACAAACTCTATATTATAGTTTTCTAATTAAATTTCATCATGAATTTTGCTAACCGTAAGTTTTAGAAGTCGATATATGTGTAACAACAGAAGACAAGGTCCAGAAAACATATCGTTTATTTACGAAATCAACACATATTTATAGACTTTCATGTACATTATTATAGTTAATTGTTAGCAGAAATACACAGTCTTCTGATTGCTTGTTTCTAACGGAAAGTTAACCTTGCATCTATTTGTGGCTGTTTCTTGAATGTCAGATCATCTATATGTTAACTGTATCCGCCTAAGTAAAGTGTGCTGTGCTTGTTTGTTGAATCAGTCTTTGTTCTTATTTGTCTCACGACCAATATTAGGGACACAAACATCGACGTAAATTACTGTCCACCAATTCTGACTAACAGCCAACTCTCACCACATATGTAGCATGGATACAGTGTGCGTCATTCTTAACATCAGATATTAACTCATTATTTATTTTTTAAAATTCCTCTTAATCGAGACTGGACCAAAGTGTTTGGCTTCTGTTGATATGTCGGTTGCTTGTGTCGATACTTCAACGATATTTGAGGATTTAACCTGAAGCAATTTTAGTGAGTCTGATGACCAGCAGTGGAATCCATTAGGATGCATATTTCGTCCTATTTGAGGCTCGTTAGCTAGTGGATATACCTGCATTTCTCAGTGAGTAATGGTGTCCCCACTAGGGTTCCGAATTACTACTTCAAGTTTAGTCCTCATACATCGTCGAAGCATCTGCGCAAGCAGCCAAAGAATTAGGGAAAATCGCGATTGAATTAGAAATAAATGTAATAGCTGACATCCATTACACAAGAGGTGGTGGTAACTCTCGTGGTTCAGGTGGTCTAGTGGCTAACTCTTCGGCGTTTGAAACAATGGGTGTACTGGGTTTGAGCTTCACGGGGTTACACGATGACTCATTGTGGATTGCAAAGATAGACATCCACTAGCTGAAGATTTTCCAAAGTAGGAGAAAATGTAACGCATCCTGGATTCCATTGCTAGTCACAGGTTAATTATCTGATACCTTACTGACTAAACTTTGCTATCTAGTTATTGTTAGAAATCATAGACCTGTTCAACTGCAAAATTCTCATTGGCGGTCGCAAAGAAACGTTTCCATTGATTGTTAGTTACGCTTCAGTTACGGCGAATAATCCGGATTGGGCGTGGCGGTGTACGCATGTAATCTAGCTACTTTGAAAGCTAAGGTTCTGAGTTTCAAGGAGCTGGGAGT